CACACACACACACACACACACACACACACACACACACACACACACAAGCATATATATGTATAATATAAATACAATACATATATAATATATATAATATATTTATATATAATATATATATTATATTTAATGTATATATTATATATATATTATATATAAAGTTTATATTACATATAAATAATATATATGTTATATATAAGATGTATATTATATATGTATCATATATATATTATATATAATGTTAATATATAATTGAAGATGATGATAATCATAATAATATATGAGATAATAGTTATCATGCAAGAAAGTAATGGCTTTTATCTTATTTATTTTATCTTTTTTTATTTATTTTTTTTTTTTTGGTTTGAAATCTTATTATATAGTTATGATTGGGGTTAACATTACCCATATTCCTCACATAATGAAGTGCAACGGAATGACATATATAGCTTATCGTGTCTCGAAATCTCCCGATTTCCCAACCCATTGTGGCAGTAGGGACAGCATATGCTTGGCAGCCATATCTACCCATTCTTCTTCAGACTGTTTTTGTATTCAGAGATTTCACTCTCTCAGACAGATTGCAAAATCAATGCAAGACATAATGGAAATGAACATCAGCATTTCAGTCTGAGATTGAGGGAAAAAATATTGATTCTCCAAGAGTATTCACGCGGAAATGAACTGACCAAATTCGGCCGGGATTTGATCTCGCCTCGCCGATTTTCTTTTTGCTGTTACACTTGCTCTACGTTGGTACAGATATGTTTTTTACGCAGGATGTATGTATTGATCTAATTAGAAGAAATATTAACCTTAATTACTGATTAGTAATCATATGTTAATGAGATATTTTAATTGGTATTTCTGTCATTTACATGCGTATTAAATGAGATTAAAATTAATTACGCATAATTTAAAGAATTTCTTCCCTTTTACACAATGTTGCTTCATGGTATAAGATTATGTTAAACGTTTATGAAATACTTACAAACATAAAACTAAATCTATTGCATTTTTACAAGCAATTTAAACACCGCGAGTACAAGTAACGACGTGACATACACAGGGTGAGATAGATAAATTGTCGTCTAATATTTCGTATAAATGAAAATAACATTCACATCTCATTTTAACAGATATATTTACCAAAATTACACAAAAATATCTTGAAATAATAACGTAAAGAGTAAATTTATTCAGTAAAATCGCCATTGGTTTCGACCAGGGTCTCCAGACGAATTCAGAATCTCCTGCATCTCTTCTGGGCGGTATTCTTGTTTAAGTTCGTGAATGCTACCATAATCCTTGCATTCAAGTCATCTTTAGTGTTACAAGGAGTTTGTTGGTCTCTCTTTAACCTGTGCCTCACACATAATAATCAAGTGACTTGCAGCCTGGGGAGTAAGGTGGACAAAAGTGTGATGTGGTCGTAGATATTGTCTGACATTCATGACTGAGTACTCCTGCTTTGTAGCATGAGGCAGAGTCCTGTTGGCAGATATAGGGTCTTCAATTAGCCATCCTCTTGGCCCATTACAGCATCACCTCTGCAAGGCACTTGATGTAGGCCTCTGTGTTGAGTCTGAGGCCCTGTAGGAAGATGAATAGAGACATAACATTGCCATCACTAGTGATCACTTCAAACACCTTCGTAATCACCAACAGAATCATCCAACTCTATTCGAATCTTTCTGGACTCCCTCTGAAATGTTCGTATTGGAGATTTCTGCACAAATGCCACGCAGTACAGCACACCGTCTCCAAATTTCTGGCGCAGTGATTTATGTCATGGTGATCATTTTTTTTCTTTTTTTTTTTCACAGACGCTTCCCAACAGACCCTACTATACTATGCAATCGACAAAATCAAAACGAACCAACGCGCCTGCGCGATATTAAAATTATAAAATGGCGACAATTTTATCATTGTAATTCTGTAGAAAATTCTGGTCAATGATTTTGTCCTCCTCTTAAGACTCGTTTGCCTTTTATGACCAGCAGTAAAGTCAGTGGAATAAGGTATTCAAAGCAGTAATATCACTTGACCAAATGGGATTAAAATAAGTGATAGCTAAATGAGGAAGTTTGGGATGAAGTGGAACTTCACCAAATGTTGGAAATCTTTTTTGTTGAGTTGGGTGCCACACAATTTAACATTTATACAAGAGTGAAGTAAATTTATACGTAAGAACATAAAATATTTTTCATTTCGTTTTCGATTCAGTTCCGTCGCAGGCTTTTATATTCATTTACCCCAAAATACTAATTCGTCCACAAAATAAAAATATCTTTACTAAAATTCACACCAAATTTTTCCAGGGCTAGGCCCTGTTTGGTTTGACCATTGCAATCTCCAAAAACAGATTTTTTGAATTTTTTTTTATTAAATTGTAAAAAAGTCCTTGTAAATACCTCGAAAATCATCCGCACTTATGAAATGTGAATAACTCCCTCATTATTTGTAATTTTTCTTTCCTATTGTTGGAATTGACGCTAGATAAGTTAAACATATTTCGATTTAGAATTTAGAATTTCAAAAAGAGTGCCAAATATGTAATAATAATAAAAAAAACACACTTTGTTTTATAATTTAGAATTCCAAAATAGTGCCAAATATTTAATAAGATTTCAAACTTTGATTTAAAATTTATAATTTCTTGGGGTGAATTAATACTTGCGATAAGTAGCATTACATTGTTTAGGGTGGATTAGCAAAAAGATGTTATTGAAAGTAACAGTATCTTGCTAATTCTGGGCACCTGTTGGCGGTCAGTCGTGGTATATCCGACTCGACGCATTAGAATAGCCAGCTGTGATGAAGAGACGGACAGAGTGATAGTCGGAGAGTTTTAGTTCACGCGCGTTTAAGTGAAAAGTTTATCTGTAGTTTGACATGGAAAGAGTTACATATATGCTGCCCAAACTGTGCAAATGAATCGCCGAAGGAATAACTAAATTATGTAAAACAAGATTCCTGTTTTCATTTTTAATATAGAATATTTTTTCAAGGCATTTTGTTTTACTTGTGCCATATACATCTGAATTTTTAAATAAACGGTCGAGGAAACATTTTTGGCATAAGAAACCAACCTGTCCAATCCTAGATTCCAACCACAAATTTTATTAAATATTCTTCTAATTTCTCCCCATTTTAATTAAATGTACGCAAACACTAGAAAAAATGTTTTCGCTACTGAACATTATTTTAAAATATTCAAATATATATTTTATTTATTTAAACAGTATCACTCCAAGCAAGGCTTTAATGACAGTAAAACGCTAGGGATTACAGTGTGTGGAAAAAAATAGGAACAGGAACATTAATAATGAACGGAAAATGTAATCAGAAGGACAGTAGATAGCGATTGATATTGCATTTAAAGTTTTGCAGATTAATGTTGTCTGGAATGTATGCAGCCGTAAGGGAGTTCCACAAGGGAGAAGTGCGAGAATATAAACTCTCAGCATAGAATTTACGGTTACATCTAGCCAGCCCAAATGTAAATGAGAACTTGATGCCATTCTAGTACTGAAGTTAAATTCATATTTATAAAATCTAGGTACGTTAGCATAGAACTCATCCGAAGTGTTACCATGAAAGTATTTATAAAAACAAAAAGGCCGAGAAAGGCAATCTTACGGCGGTGGGTAAGTAACAGAAGCCGACAGATCAGGGCCAATAATACTGCTGATTCTTCAATGAATACTATTATCAATGAGCTCAAGGTCAATAGCAAGGGCACCGGAATATATATATATATATATATATATATATATATATATATATATATATATATATATATATATTTATATATAAAGCACGATGTGTGTCTGTGTGTGTGTGTGTGTGTGTGTGTGTGTTTGTGTGTGTGTAATGAATGCACGGCCACAATTTTCGACGGATTTGCACCAAAATTTAAATGCACATGCTCCAAGTTAGGGGGAAGGCCAAGACCGATTTTGCATTTCCCAATTCCCATCGATAGTGGAAATAATCGATTTTTCATGCTTGTACGGTAGTTTTCATGTAGTTTGCGGCCATTTTCTACTGGCCAGAATGAGAGCCTATAGCTGGCTGTCATGAATAGGCAGGAAGTTTCTATTGGCCAGCGTAAGAGCCAACAGCTGACTGACACTAATGTTAATTAGCATGCTAGCATGCAAAAAAATTCGATAGCTGCATTCGTCACAAGTGGGAAAAATTAAAATCTGCATCGCACTTTACTCCAATTGGCTCATTCGCTTGCTTAAACTCAACGTTGATTCTAATTCCGCAGAACTGGGTTGGGTGTGAAAACGTATTTGTTGTTAACATTCTTTTTTCATTCGGATTTTCCAGTTACGAGTCCATTTTTAAAGGTGATCGTTTTGTGTTCATTTTGTTTAGTTCTTTTTTTGTAACAGATTTAATGTTTAGTATAGAGCTTAGAAAAAATTCGCAGTGTGAGATATGCAAGAAGTAAGGCATATAGAACCCTTAGCACGGCAAAGGGCATTACTTTAAAGGCAAGGAAGGGCAAAAATATTTTAACTCAAGTGATAGCGATTGCTGTATGAGTCGTACGATTTTTGAATTAAGCACGGGCAACGCCGGGCCATGCTGCTAGTATATGAATTCCGTTCACGCATTTCATACAAACCACACCTTTTCTATCTGCTACAGAGAGAGGTTTAAACAATAGGACCGGGTAAACAACATATATTTAGCACTGACCAGTAAAAAGAAAAAAGAAAAGGTATTCGCCTTAAACGCAGGTGTGAAAAGATATCCAGATCTTCATTAATAATTCTAGAGAATAATAAATGTGAAAGCAAATGATTAACTTCACTTGATCGTTAGGCCTTTTATTTTATTTTATTCTATTTCATTTTTTGACTTTTCATTTCCAATTCGTTAGCCTGCAAAATACAGAAAGAAATTGCAAAGAGAAAAAGACGAACAGTTCTCTATGAAACGTTCGCACAAGTCAGAGGTCAGCTTCATTAGCGTCATTCAGAATAATGATATGTCAAAGCGCCATTTTTTCTCCCAGAAAAAAAAGTGTTCTTTTGAAGATTTTCTTAAAATATCGCGTATCTGTAGAACCTATTTGCGAATGATTTTCAAATCTACCCTATTCCTTTTTAAGGAGATGTTGACACTGCTGTCATCCATGACTAAAATCCCTGATAAAACTGCAAAACGATAAGTAAATTCAAGCAATATTTTAACTCGGTTTAAATCGATATGAACTGTCTTATTAAACGTAGAGATATGTTCCATGGTAAAGGAAATTACTTTTCAAATATAAGAGTTATTAAAATAGGATTAAATTTTCTGAGTAAAAATCCTTTTCAGTAACGTATCTGTAAATTAAAGTGTGTATATATGCTAATTAAACACCATTCCGATATGATATGAACATTGCTAAATAAATTAGTTTTGAATGAGTTGTTTCAAGCCCCGCTGACAGCCATGTGTATAGATGAGAATTAGCGATATTTAATTCAATTTCGGGATTAAAGTTATTTTCTGTGTTATTAGTATCTACATATACACTTACGAGTTTTATACTTTCCTGTAACTGTAATGATGAAAATAAACCTGAAAATGTTTCCAGGAAAACGCAAAGATAATCTTTGTTTGCATCAGAAAAAAACAGTATTCTTATGAAAAGCATAACTGCTTCGACATAATAGATTTTTTATGAGCATCTCTAATGTTTGCGAAAAGGAATCGTGAAAGCAGTCGTTCACATGAACAAAATGGAATAAAATAAGAGATAAATATATGAAAATTTGGGATTCGAGTGGTACATCACTGGATGTTAGATATTTCCGTTCGCAAGAATTTTTGAACTGTTACAGTTAGAATAAAGTGTCTTCTAGTTCGCATGTCAGTAAACCAGAATACCAATGTTACAAAGTATTCTATAAAATTTACTCGGTTTCTTATGATTTTGCAGAACACTGAATGCCAAGAAAAAAATCAGTGTGGTTGAGACAAAGAAATGTCCCCATATATCATCCGTTAAAAATCTTTCGTAAAATTGCATCAATAAACAAGTAAAACTATGTACATGGCGTATGTTCGGGCGAAATTCATTCCTTGGTTCCGTCAGTTGCGAACGTCACAGCCAGGATGTACCAAACCACATAGACCGAGTCGATTCATCTTCATTCCGTTTCTCTAAATTATATATATATATATATATATATATATATATATATATATATATATATATATATATATATATATATGTGTGTAACTAAAATAAATCCTAAGGAGCCAGGAAAACCTACCTAGGTTTCACCGAAAAGGAACTTCAGTGTAAGTTTATCCTGAAGATCCGTTTAGGTGAAACGCTCATTAGGATTTGTTTTTTAGTTATTCCCGCTCTCCTCAAGGACACATGGCACAGTGGATAAAAGCGTTAGTTATATACAGTGACAGGACCCAAGAGTTTGAGTTCAATACCCGGTTAAGACAGTGCAGAACTTTCTGTGGGAAATTAACAAGAGATAACTGATAACTGACATTAATTAAACATGGCACGTGGAACTAGAACAGTCTACCCCAGAGTTCGAAATAAATGTTTCAGTTCGACATTCCAAACACGTGAAAAAGGCCAGAGCGTGCAACGACCGAAAGGTTGGGATAAATATGGCGACAAAGATGAGGCCAATAGTCCAAATAATGTATATAATACATCATCTCTGAAATATAGACAGATACTATTAGTGTATATATATATATATTACGATAAACGTGCAATCAATTTACAAATTCATGAATTATTCACACAAAAACAAATACAAAGGTTAATGATTTAATTGGCGACATTACTGTAATTATTGAACAATATAGTTCATGCCACTTTGACAGAAAATTTACCAGTAAAAAATTCGTTTATCACCATATTTGTACATGAACGCACAACTGTAAAAAATTTAAAATCGAACTCAGCGTTGCTACTGCGCGCTCCAAAAACAATAACTCATTTCCAATAGCATTTTCGGATACAACAATACATATATTTTCGTTGTCCTCTTATTACTAAGAGAATAAACAAGAACAACATCTATTCCATACCTAAAGATGTCTGTAGGAACAGACGAAAGCTTGTAGTAAAAATAAGATCTAATACGGCAGAAATTTATAGAAACAAGGATCTTTTCATTCATAACGGATTCGGAGGTTTTTGTATATTATTTGAATTGTTTGCGACGATGGATTGGATTTCTCGCCAATTAAATCATTAACCTTTGCATTTGTTTTTGTGTGAATAATCCATGAATATATATATATATATATATATATATATATATATATATATATATATATATATATATATATATATGATACACTGTTAAATTAGAACATGTAAGTTACTACTACAAAATTGTACATTTTGGTTTGACGTTTAATAGAAACGTCTCATCCGGTAGGTAACAATGATGTTTATTAAACCTCGAAATAAAATGTACAATTTTGTAGTAGTAACTTACATGTTTTAATGTAACAATGTATAATCAATATTTACTGCTCTACTCTTGTACTGAGACCTGTTTTAAATTAATGTCTTGCAAGGTTGAATTTTATTGTTTGTTCTTTTACATTTGGTTATATATATATATATATATATATATATATATATATATATATATATATATATATATATATATATATACGTAGATTATTTCATTATAAATTAATACTCTCTCAAATTCCATACCCTCAGGTCACTATTCTGTAACTCTACACATTTAAACATACATGAAAGTGCATAATTTCTACAGCATATTTCATGTATGTAAACACTTCGATTTTTAAGATAATAGCCACCTAGCCCGTCTAACTTGTCAGACTAGGCGTATCCAATCATATAAAAGGATCAGATTATTTGGGGGTATTGCGTTTCGACCAGCTATCGACGCAGATGTGCAGTTTATCATCAGGGTTCAGGATGCCACGCTTAGTGGAAACCAATTCCATCCAATGTCAAGAATCGAATGATTTGAGTAGAAATCTATATTCTAATTTAGAGGCAAGAGAATAGCGTGTTCTAGGAAAAGCTGGGTTAGGGACGGCTCGGTATATATGACGAGAATAAAGGCGTCCTCTGATGTGATTGGGACGTGCTGTTTAAGATAAGCTATCGGTTTAATGATTTCGATTCGAGGAACAAGCAAATCAAGTGGTCGGCGCTAAAACGGATATCAGCTTCCAAACTCAAAGACAGGGAATAGAGTTCCAAATTTATTCTTCAGCATTCCTGTTTCATTTCCTTCCTGCAAGCAATTCTGCCATTTTGTTTTCCGATTTTGTCTTTTGCTCGTTTTCTTTCTTTTTCTTTCTTTTTTTTCTTTTCTTTCTTTCTTTCTTTCTTTCTTTCTTTTTGTCCATGTTCGATTCGCTTTTCTTTACTTTCTTCCTCTATTATTTCAATTGATTTTCATTCCAATATTTATCATTACACTTTAGTTCTTTAAAGAGTTTTTCTTTAAGTTTTTCTTCTCTCATTCTTTGATTCCGTATGTATTTTTTTTTTTTATTTCTCTATTTCCGCTTTCTTTCTTCCATTCCAATGCTTTTCCTGTTCATTATGTTTTATTTTCCGTAACGATATTCCTCCTTATGTTTTCATTCTTCTTTTTTCCTACCTTTCCTCATTGTTACCTTGACTTTATGAATTTAAGTGCAATGGTAGATTTAGAACAAAGCCTCAGCATATTACATTTGAAATGATTAGATGTTACTATAATTCTATGCTAACAGTTTTTCTCTCGTACTTCTCGTTTTTGGAAATCACTTCCGACTTCTTGCTTTCCACTCAACTTTGATCTTCAAATATTTAAATGAAATGTCAATCGTTATCTTCTGTTTCCTAAATTCCTCTTTTACTGGACTCTCTTCTTAATAATGTTTTCTTTTTCTCATATGTACTTACAAAGTGTAACACTTTGCGTCTTAATGGTTTTACAGCCATTCTTGGGGTGAGATGATTAAAAACAGTTTATACGCCTGAAATATTTCCAATGCTTGTTGCATTTATCTTTCTTTGTGTTTCTTATCATTATTGATGTCGTCTATTCGATTACCACTGGTTTAATATTTATTATTTGACGTCGCTTATTTCTTGTATCTGTTTTATTTTCTTTCTTTCTTTGTTTTTATATTTCATTTTTTTCAGTTTAGCCGTTTCTTCTTTATCGTGCTTTTTTCTGTCATAGTTTTATTCTCTTATGTTTTTCGTTTTCATTACATTTGCTTTCTTTTTAGTCTTTCATTCCATGATGCTTTAGTTTAACTATGTACGGTGGAATAATGGATAGCAGCTCGGATTGAGAAATCGAAGAGCCGAGTTCGAATTCCAGTCGAATCCAGTACATTCACTTACGTGCTAATACCCTTGGGAAGGGTTTGAAACTTCTTCTCCCACCAGCTATAGATAAATAGCAGAACAGACCAGGTTTTATAGCCTTGGATGGCAACTGGTCTACCGCAGAAAAAAATGGCAACCTACTTCGTGAAAAAGTCAGCCTCGTCAGACATGTAACGAAAGATACATGATCGCCTAAGTGTGTATCACTCATGGCATATAAATGACTGATGTATGTTTCTTTCATTCCATTAATGATATTCTTTGTCTTTGCTATCATTCTTTCGTTCATTAAAGTTTACCAATGTTCGTTCTTTGAATTTCTTTCATGCATTCCTCCATTCCTTATTTTCTGTCTATTATGCATTTGTGCTTTTTTTTTATTTCAAGCTATTAATCTATAAATGATTTTGCTTTGATTATTATCTCTTTTTCCTTTATGAAATTCTTCAATATTTTTTGTTCTTTTATGGCTTGTTTTCTTTCATTATTTCATTCCCTATTTTTGTATATATTTTGTATATATTTTATATATATTTTGTATATGTTTGTATATTTTGTATATATTTTGTATATTTTGCATATATTTTGTATATATTTTTGTATATATTTTTGTATATATTTTTAGATATATTTTGGGATTCCTTTCTTTCAGTTCTCTTTCAACGCGTAATTTTAATAGTATTTTGGTTTCCTTCATTTGAATTTTTTATCCCTTAATTTTTGCCCATTTTTATTTTTCTTTCTTTTGTTTAAATATCACATTTCATAATATTTTTTGTTCTTTATTTGCGTCTTCAATCTTTCATTTATTTATTCCATAATTTTTCTCTGTATTTTCTATTCGTATTTTTCCTTTCAGTTTTTAGTTCAATAATGTTTTTCATTTAATAATTTATTTCCTTTATTCTTTCTATCGTTTGCCTTTCTTTCATTCTTTAGCGTTAGGGTTCATTTTTTTAATATATTTCTTTCTTTCCTTACTGGATTAATTTTTTTTTATATATATTTTTGTGTTTCCTTACTTTCATTGCTTAATGTTTTTTTTGTTGCTTTTTTTGTGTACCTGCCTTTCATTACTTTGTTTCTTCATATTTTTCTGATAAATTTCTATGATTTTGTCTTGTGCACCTTTTCTTTTTTCTATTATATTTTTTCTTTGTTTTAATTCTCCCAGATCGTGTTTCCTTTCTTTATTTATTTGTCATATATCATTTACTTCTAATTGTGTTCCCTTATTTTATTCCTTATGTAACCGTTTTTACTGTTTTCTGCTTCCTTTTCATTCTTTGTGTTTTTTTACGCCTGTGAATCGGAAATCGTAAAGCCGAGTTCGTGTTCCGACTGACTTTGTTATATTTATTTACGCGCAAGTACCTTTGGGAAAATTCATATCTTCACCCCAGACATGGGTTAAATAGTATGACTTGTATCTGAAAATATCATTGTTATCTCCAAAAGAAGAAAAAAATAAAAATGCAATGTTGACTTATAAAAGAATAATCATACTTACAATCCAAAATATGTTTTCGGCTCACCAACACACAAAGGGCTGATAAGCCGTAGAAATCCCCCCCCAAAAAAAAAACTCAGCCAACCAATTCTTGTGATTTCCGTTTTGGCTTCTTTTATTTTTTTTACTTTTATTTGTTAACATTAATTTGCATGTATTTTCTTCTTCCTTTCTTCCACTAGTAATTCTCATTCCTATTTCTTGCATTTTTGCTTGATATTTGTTCTTCTTAACGCAACACTTATATGCCCACCATAATAATATCTAAAGGCTAAAAATGAAAATATCGCATTAAATATAGTTCTGTTATTTTTTTTTTAAATGTCTCTCACAATTTTCAATCGCTTATAATGTATCTTTTTCTAGGCTTTTTTTCGATTTCTCTCTCTTTCTCCCTTTTCAATCTCTTATAACGTTTCACCTTTTAGGCTTTCTTCGATTTCTCTCTCTTTCTCCTTTTTCACTATCTTATAGTGTATCTCTTTTTATGCTTTCTTCTATTTCCCCTTTTTCCTTCTGTTTATTCTCTTATGCTGTATCGTTTTCTACAACTTTTTTCTCCTCCTCGATTTCTTTCTTATATAACGGACCGATTTCTACGATTTCTTCTGTTTTTCTCCCCCCGCTCTTTTTTACTGTATCTCTTTCGGATTTCTCTTTATCACCACTCCTTTGCTTTTTATAACGTATCTCTTTCTATACATTTTCCTCCCTTACCTCTTTTATTTCTCTTATGTCATCGCTCTTTACTATTTTTATTATTTCTTTACTCCTCGTTTTCTTTCATAGCGTCTCGTTTTTTTTGTTTCCTTTTTTTTTTTGCTGTTACAATTACTTTAATTTCTCTGCATTTCCTTTCGTTTATAATGTATCACTTTCTATAATTTTTTCGATTTCTCTACCTTTCCCATTTTCTTTTCTCTTATAACATGTCGGTTTCTAAGATCTTTTATTTCTCTTTCTTCCTTTTTTTTTTCAAACGACTCATTTCCTTACGCATACGACTAATTCTCTTTCCACTCGATTTTATTTATTTTATAATGTTTCTCATTTTCTTTCATTTTGTAACCTTATCTTCAATTTCGCTTTTTTTAAATTTTTAGTTTTTTCGTTCAGTTTCCTTTTGCTTCTTTTCTAAATCCTCCCTTTCAATTCAACGGATGTTCATGCTTTCTGTACCATATCACATTTTTATCCTTCATACATTTTATTCTTACTGTTCTCACACTCTTCTTCGCCTCCTGTTACTTCTCTCCCACTGTTTAAACCTTTCTGTAATTGACCATTTGCATCGATTTTGATTTATTCTGCCATTTCCGTCATGATCACCATGGTTCTATCTTCTTTTTATCCTCGTCTATTTATTTCATTCTATTTATTCCCACAACCAATAAAAATTTATTTAACTTCAAACCAACCCCTACTTCTAAAACAGGCAAAATTTTGCGCTAATTAGTTAAAAAGCCGTGCCGTAGCCTCCACTATTTGTAGTAATTTGCACTCAGTTACCAGTCAAATGGAGCAGGTTTAAATGCCAGAGAAGACATAACAAAAAGAACATGAGCGTGTGAAAATGATCGAGATAGAATGTCGTCAATCATTTGAAACATTTCTTGCTTTCGTGCCAAATTAGCTATAGATTAATTCATTTTTTTTTTATTGTTGCCCAATTCAAAGACTGAAATAGTTTTGATTATCAGCTTCTTTGAAAGTCAGACTACGATTTTGGATTATTAAGAGATTGACTTGCAAAATACATAACAAGTATATGTTCCTGCCAAATGGTATTCACGACATTTTTTTTTTTTTTTGTGGTAGAAATTTATCTGCCATACAGCTGATTATCATTCCCTGGGCAGGTACGGCTTAACGTACTAAAAAGATTAAAGATGTAATCCAGTTACATAATTTAGGAGATAAGAAAGTTGAACATACGATACACTGCACTAGGGTTAGTTTTCTCCAAAACCGCAAGCTTGTAAAAAATATTAACATGAGAATTAGGGTAATGTTCTTAAATAGTTTTGTCTGACGCAGACACTTATGTGGATGCCAGGCATGTCATTAAAATCCTTCAGAGAGGATTAAAATATAATCTATATTCAACACTTTTATCAACTTTCTTATATAATACATACATGCATACATACATACATACATATATATATATATATATATATATATATATATATATATATATATATATATATATATATATATATATATATAATATACATTATATAAACATATTAAATATATATATATATATATATACACACACACACACACACACACACACACACACACACACACACATATATATATATATATATATATATATATATATATATATATATATATATATATATATATATATAAATACATATATTAAATGTATATAATATATATCATAGTTTATACTAAATTAGCTAATCCGTATGGGTAGAACCAAGGAGGATGATATGCGGAGAGCTCAATGTAAATTCAGAGCAAATATGTTTGAATAAAACAGACAACTTTAAGGTTCCATGTAATAAATTATTTCACCACAGCCCTTTTAAAGGGCTCTGGATCATCAGACTTTACTTCCAAATGTTGAAATGAAAAAAAATGATTTTTCATTTTTCATTTCAACCTTTGGAAGTAAAGTCTGATGATCCAGAGCCCTTTAAAAGGGCTGTGGTGAAATAATTTATTACATGGAACCTTAAAGTGGTCTGTTTTTATTCAAACAATATATATATATATATATATATATATATATATATATATATATATATATATATATATATATATATATATATATATTTCCACTGTATTAAGAAATAAAATACATAATTATATATAAATACTAGCAGTAGAGCCCGGCGTTGACCGGGGATGTAACAGTAAGAGATAGATCAAGTATCGACCATCATAAAGACTGAAAAATAAAATTGACAAAGATTACTGTTTAAGGTTGACGGACACGCATGTCTTAATTAGTTTTTTTTTTTTTTTTGTTGTTGTTTTTTGTTTTTTACGAATTGGTCAAACCGAAACTCAAACGAAAACATTGTTTTCAATCGTTATGAATTTACCGATTGAATAGAATTTTATTATGAACAATTTTTATGTAAATGGAACTTTTAAAGCATTCTGAATGTAAAAATAAAGAAAAAAGTGTGCAAGACAATAAGAAACACTACCTGCCAAAAAAGTGAAGTTTTGTTGAAATCGGTAGAAAAATGTAGGGAAATCCCATCCCATATATAAACACACACACACACACACACACACACACACACACACACACACACACACACACACACACACACAACCTGGTTTTATAATAAGTATAACTCGATATGAGTTGTCCCGCTTTCATACTCGCGACAGCAATGCCTCTTAATCGTGTTTTCAAATTGATTTTATGCAAAAACAACTGTGTTTTTCCAATTTTTGATGCTGTCAGAACCACCGCAAGGTAATTTGACGAAGTGAAGTTTTGTTGAAATCGGTTGAAAATGTACGAAATCCGATCCAATATATAAACGAACAGACACACACACACAACCTGGGTTTTATAATAAGTATGATGTATCGTTTAAAAATTTATTAGTATATATATATATATATATATATATATATATATATATATATATATGTGTGTGTGTGTGTGTGTGTGTGTGTGTGTGTGTAAAATCACCGTTGATTACTGTATATATTTCTCTCTGTCTCTCTCTCCATAGTAGAGTCACCAGAAATAATTAAGCTGAATCACAGAGCTTCTTTTTTTCTTTGCTTATTTTCTATTTCATCCCATAGGATTTGGTTTATCCAACGCCATTTTTAAATGAAATTACGTTGTTTCATTTTTTTCTAGTGACGCTTTAAGGTATCTGTCTTCCACTAATTTAAAGCTGGTCCCCGCTTCTTTCATTTGCGTTCTACGCGTCTGAAGATCGTGTTGGCGTGAAACTAGAGTAACGACACAGGCTGATATGAGTTAAATTTGTGAAGCATTCATTACTCTGCTAAGGTAATCTAAGCGTTGAACACTTTTCTCTGCTGAGTAGCTGAGTGTTTGCTTTTAGGCTATTTTTTTCTTTCTTTGTTCCAGGCTTTCTCATGTTTATGGTGTTAGGTCTTTTGGCAGGTTGCCTGTTGGTTTCAACAATGTTTATTTTCTTTAATACTATATATATATAGTATTAAAATATATATATATATATATATATATATATATATATATATATATATATATATATATATATATATATATATAGAGAGAGAGAGAGAGGGAGAAAGATATATATATATATATATATATATTATTAAAGACATATTTTTATGTTTAACGTTGTTATTTCATAGATACAAGTATTTAAGCAAATGCTCTGTTTATGATAAACAGTATTAAATAACATTTACCGGCCTGAATGTCCGAGAAATTTTCGTTCTTTGACAGGATTCTTGTCCATTTCTTAATATATGACGTCATTTGTTTACATTCGATACGCCAGAGCAGTTATGAATGTACGAGATTCATGGAGGGTTGGAGTTTATAAGCAGTAAATTCGACCTTGTCTACCGATTGGTTCTTTGTAGCTTAAGCGGTAAGGCACGTCAGCGTATATGACGGTTCCGTATAGGATGCAGGTTCGAATCCTGTCAAAGAACGAAAATTTTCTATGAAAATTTCTCGGACATTCAGGCCGGTAAATGTTATTTAATACTGTTTATCATAAACAGAGCATTTGCTTAAATACTTGTATCTATGAAATAACAACGTTAAACATAAAAATATGTCTTTAATAAATAAATTGTCGGACCTTGTCCATTTCTTATATATATATATATATATATATATATATATATGCAGACAACACACACATACATATATCTATATATATATATATATATATATATATATATATATATATATATATATACATACATATATACACACATATATACATGCACACACCCATATATATATATACATATACACACATATATACGTATATACACACATAGATATACATATAAACACACACACACACACATATATATACTTATACACACATATATACATATACACACATATATACATATACACATATATGTGCACATATACATAAACATGCATATATACACAGATAAATTTAAACACGCATACATATGCACAAATACATATAGACACGCATATATACACACACATACAAACACAGCACACACACACACACATATATATATTTATAATGAGAGTGAGATAGAGGCGTGCATATATGCATAGATATATTGTACAATTCATCTCTTGCATAATGTTGACTAAATTATACTTATATAAAAATCACCATAATCACTTTCCTTCAACAACTTCTTTACAGTTGTATCGACTAACGTGATAGTTAGATCATGTTGATCGAGAAACCAGTGAATACTTCAGGTTAATAATTTATTTTCAATATTACGACATTTATCCGCTTAAGTATATATCAATGTATATAAATAAATTCACCTCAAGCAAGGCGAAAATTGCCACTGAATATCACGACAAAAACAGCCATTTTGTTTCAACGCTTCTGGTGTCTTCTCAAGTGATGGTAATGAATGTTATTCAGCATCATCACTCGATAAGACACCAGAAGTGTTGAAACAAAATACCTACTTTTGTAGTGATTTTATAACATATTTATTTTATATTTCAAATAAATTATATTTAGTCTGTATTAAGCACACTTTTAATAATACTATTTTTTGGTTATTGTAATTTATTCCATATACACCAATCATATTCTTATATATATATATATATATATATATATATATATATAATATTATAAATTAATTGATTTAAAATATGGTTATTTTCGCTACACAGTTCCAACCATGTTTCAAAAATAGAAGCTAAAAAACCCTAATTTTATTTTTGCAAATAAATTAAAAGCATTAGTTCCATTTCATCTTCAAGCGATTGTGTGTGTGTGTGTATATATATATAAATGCGTCAGATGTATTTTTTTCCACTTTGTCATAGATTGTACCATATATATATATATATATATATATATATATATATATATATATATATATATATATATATATATGGCACAATCTATGACAAAGTGGAAAAATTACATCTGACGCATTTTGTCCGATGGACGTCATTCGATGTAGTCATGAAAGACGAAACTCGTCAGAAGTAAACTTTTTTCTTTTTTGTCACAGATTTTCCCCAATACTATTCTTGACATTATTGGGGAAAATATATATGTCGACATAGGACTTAACCCTCAGTGCATGGTACGATGTCAGT